GCGCTAAAGAAGACGTTTTGTTGAATTCAAGCGAAGAAATTGGTTTTTTACTGTCTTTTTCGGTGTTATGAATAGCGTGTGATTGAGTGACAACTCGTATATCATTGGTTACAACACTTGTGCCTAACTTATTGATAGACATAATGGAGATCTCATACATTGTCGACTCTTTTAAGTCATTTACAGTAAACTCAGTGGCGTTGCCATCGATTTTGAATGTTTTTAGATTAGTGTTAATTCCTTGGATTTGTTTCATCAGTTTTGATATTTCGCTTTTCTTGGTGAGAGACCAGTCCTTTGGATCAAATGAATGCAATTCCGTTACATTCAGTTCATATGTGTCTATCAATGACTGCATTTTCTCTGTATTCTTCTCCCACTTGACATTAATCTGTTGATAAATATATAAAAACATTTGTCGGGAATATATTAATCAAAACTTTATTTACAATACATTTCCGTTGATTTATTGGCAAAATATTTATACTGATAAATGACATGGTGTGTTCATAATTATATGATTGAAACTATGTTGATTTCAATGTTGACCTACCTGGGAAGTACTGATAGGTTCAGCGGTGACCTCGCGGGGTGGGGGCGGCAGTGTCTGTATGCCGTCCGCAATGCACGATAGAGTGGGCGTCGCGTAATCCAAGCAAATCACGTGCTGAAGAGCGGTCGTCAACGTATACTTTCCGGCACACGAGCCGTGACACACGCGCGGAATATTCTGGCGCTCACAGCACGGGATGTGATTGCGGCCATCGGTTAGACATTTGACGAGTTGTGTCATATGACTGTAGCAAATGGCAAATATATGCGCTTTCGGTGTTTGCGTTAGTAATCCTTTAAAATTACAAAATCCATTACATATCGAAGGAATGCCTTCTTTGACACAACAGTCGCTGAAGTCGTGATTGAAATCATCGGAAATCACTTTTGACTTGTTTTCAAACGCCATTTGAACTGTTTTCGGATAACTGACGGACACAACACGAGTCACTGACTGCCGGGGCATTGAATTCACTTCACAACTATAAAGTCCCGAATCGTTTACTTTTGTGTCACTTATTTTCAGAACCCATCGATCCATGTCTTTAGATTCATAGATAAGTAATTTAAATGTTTGATTAAAATAATTGTTATTTAAATATAATAAATATTAATGGGATAATACCTGTGCTATGGATAACTGAATATCTTTTATCTTCACTTATTATCACATTATTTGCCGACAAAAGTTTTGCTTCACTTTTACTATTTTGAGAGTATTTCCACAAAACTGTATGAGAGCTGCCATTCCTAACAATACAATCAATGAATGCATTATCACTTGCGATCACATGAATGTCTTCTTGAGATGTTTCCGACAAATCGGGATATATTTGACAGTAAACTATATTTTAAGAAATATAAATGAAAGTTTAGTTATATTATATTTCATATAAACTAACAAGAAAATACTTCATTGTAAGAAAATATCTATAATTTAACGGTTTATTATTATATAAGGTTATAAAATTATATGACATTATTTTAAATAATTATTCTAATAATAACTTGATAAATTAAACGGTAAAACTTAATAAATAACTTAATGTTTAGGTGTGTATTTTCACAATTATAAACTTATAGTTAAAATTGTTGGCATATCAGTCAATAGTGAATTTACAGTTATTTATTAAAATAACTTATCGTATATACCGTATATAATATACGTATTAATACATATACAGAAATAATATTAAATAAATATCTTACCGTTTAGTATAATACAAAAATAAATTACAAAGATACTTTTATTCATTTTGATTAACAAAGTTGTTAATTGAAAGTATTCACGACATTATAATCACTATTATTTAAAAATAACTATTTGTATGTTTACAACGAAATACAATACAAAACAAGGAAAACTAATTGAATGCTATTTAATATTCAATTATGCATTACTTCAACATTTTGGCGAAAGTGTTGTATAAAAGTCTATATTTATTTTAAAGCAACAAATTAAAAACGTTTTAACATTGAGTTCCCACTAATAGCCATATATTTGCTTGATTTGAATGAAGCAAACATTGAATAAAATTTTAAGTATATTTTTACAAGAATGAAGAAAAGAAAAGTTGTTTTACAAGGAAAGAGAGAGCGAGCGAGCGAGAGAGAGAGAGAGAGAGAGAGAGAGAGAGAGAG